TTAGGTCGTAAGACTAGTTAAGTATTGTTTAGTAAGACTTCGTATATATTATATATATATATATATATATATATATATTGCGAAATTCCATCTTTCACAACCTATGAAGAGAGTACTGACAGTTACAGTATTCAAAAGAAAGTAACCTAGTCGGTGAGCAAAACCCCAGGTTTGAACCCTGGCCGGTCTCCATTTTATTTCTTCCGAAATATTGTTAAATAAGACCAAAAAAATTTTTAACAAGTGTTTATACAAAAGCCTTATGTTTTACGGCATGAAAGGTTGTTTTGATATATAGCTCTCAATGTCGACCTGCAGTTCAGTTTCTATTGGCAGATGATGGTGTTTCAAATCCCACACACAAGACTCATCAATTTGTTATGAGTGTTAAGCTTTACACGATATCAATGGCTCTGAGATGTACGAGTTTTTGATTTTCTTTTTATTGAGAATTAATGAATTTGTTTATTTTTTTTTCTAATTCGGAAGTATTTATACGAGAAAGGTTTCATTCTTTAGTAAATCAGCGGTTAGCTAAAATAAAAGAAAAATGAATATGATATTTCATAAAGGTGGCGTTTTGTGTGAAGAAACAGAGGAATACAGTTAAGATTGTGAGTACAAAATAAGTGGAGCAGTTACTACATTAGCTAGTAGCTTTATTGTTCTTCGTTTGTAGGCTTCAACTTAGTTTATAATGCTCAGTTTTGACATAATTCATCAAAATTAGAGACAGTTTGATATGTATAGCAAAAATATCGTTTTTTACAGACATTTCTGATGTATAAAGAACTACTTCCAACTCAGAAATTTAACCTGAATTATCGGACAGTAGAAGAAGAGAATCTTGGACAGAGTTAAATGATAAATAATTTCTGAAACCTTTTTTTTAAAAAAAAAAAGACACATACTCAAACTAAACATATGTACATAACACAACAAATCATATAAATCTATCAAATATTAATCTTTACATTTCAATATAATATCTCGTGCTTACAATATCTCCTCCGTGAAAAGAAGAAACTCTACTTGAAGATGATAGAATCTTCCACAAACTTTCATATCAGTGGCTAAGCAATAAAACAGAATCCAAGTCATTCAATATATTCTGTAACGTAATGTTGCACCATTTAACCCTATAATCACAGGCACCGCTGGTAAATATTATAACTGTTTGTATTTAAAGCCACATCAAATGAAATAAAGCTTTTTATTGTGCCCTACTATGATTTCGTTTAAAAGAACTGTTATGGGACTATTTCAAAACGATTTATTAGCGCAAATGCAGTCTTAAAGTTTGTCGATTTTGCTATTATTAAACGTTATATTTATTCTTGTCATCAGTAAAACATTTTATTAGTTATAAGGAGGAGGATTTTAAACCACTTTCCACACACACACACAAAATTAAATGGACGTTTTAGGACATACAAAGACCTGTGGAGATTATATCTTACTAGTTTTCATCTTTTACGAGTTATTTTACAATGTGATGAGCTACCAGGTGTTATCCTGCCTCGCCCTCTAGTGGAAACAAAAGTCGAATCACTCACCTGATCATTTTCGGGAAGGGGGAGAGGTTTGGCGACACCAATCCTCACCACCCCTTTTGATGCCCCCTTTAGTGCTTGGACAGCAGTCTCAAGACAAACATTTTCTAAAGGGATGTCATTGACAAATAATAAACGATCTCCAGGAAGTAGTCGGCCATCTTGCTGTGCAATGCCACCTGGTACCAGGCTTCGTACAACAATTACAGTTTCATTAGCATTCATAGGATCCTGTCAAAATTAAGTATGTTAGTTCAAAGTCTGCTCAGCACTAACAACACATGTTGCTGATGATGATATTAAACTATTCAATAATCTTTACAGAATACACGTATTTTTTTCCATTACAGGTTTATTGGTAGGAGTGTTTTTATCTTGCTGAAATTGCCTAGTCTATATTACACACTTAATACCAATACATAGAATTATATAATACACAAAATATTAACATTCGAAACATTGTCCAATTCAGATCTTCAAGGATAGTTCGACACTGAGGAGTAAGTTCTTACCTTACGAAACATATTCCATCAAAATGTTTTTATATTTACTTACTAGATACTAAAAGACAGCTTTTAGTGTCTCTAATATAAATCTATTTAATTAAGTTACCTGTCAGTTCAACTTAAAGCTAATTTTTTCTAGTTTAATGATCAAGGTATTTTAAAATCGAGGAATGAAACAAAATAATGTCAATTATAGTTTATCGTGAACCACGATAGCGGTTTATAATAGGGATCGCACAAGAATTTGCTCAAAATCTCTAATAGAACATTCGGGCAAAAACCATCTTAAAAAACAGACTTATTCTTCAAACAACACTCAAAACCTTCCTTTTCGATAGTTAAAACCACCCAAACATTCATAATAAACAAAATAAGTGATTTCACGATTGTAGACAAGCTCAAAAATTGACCATTTGTTCATATTATTATTATCCGTATTATTGTCTCATAAGCCTACAGCAAAATCGGCTAGGTATTTTGCACCAACACTATATGAAACGCTGTCCATGACCTATTTAAAAGGTGTTTATTTTTTACTAAAAAGATGATTTACGTAGTTATATATATATATACATTATAGAAGCGATGTTGTTATGAGCGGCTGCCTTTGTACTTGATGCATGTTAAACGCGTGCTTACAGGAAACCTCAGGCATAAAGCAACCTGGCTCAGTAAATAATTACTTTAAAAGACACGAAGCTTTTTTTAAAGCGATGTTTTAGGCGTATTTGTTTTATTCAAAAGGGCTGTGTGGGTTGTGTCTTACACTAGGCATATAGTTGCCCATTGTTGCGCATTAAGAAAGCCAACATACAAGATACTTAAAAACGGATAATTTAAAATCTACAAACAGGGAACGCAAAAATAGTAAGCAAACAAAGATGGAGATCTACTGCCGACAGTTTGCTCAAGCTACAAATCCCTATTATGACTCCACTATAAAATTATTGCAAGTGATATCTACTGTAGTGTGGGATCACATAGGACTTTTGCAAAAAACTGAGAGAGTAGTTTTAAACTTTATTCGATCTCCTTAATTTTGTCGTGCTGCGAAATTTTCTATGTCCACTTTCTGCAATAAAAAATCCGGTGTTTTCCTTGCATGCGCGTTAGTTGAAAACTAGAACTCGTGCATTTTCTAGCACGTGAAAGGTTCCCGATTTTGCTGTTACTCGAGTTGCTATTGTTCATTGTTACCCGAGTTTGCTGTCTCTACGAGGATTTCCACGACTATATTTCAGCACGTTTATAAACAGTGGACGATTACCATAGTAAATTTTCCTACTCAGACGACGAAGGTGATTCTTTCTACTGTTTCTTATACTTAGCTGAAAAAGTGCGTATGTATTCAGTATTTATTACCACTGCATATAACACTATTTCATATAGCTATTGCTATTCTTAAATAGTTGGTGTTAAGGTACAGGATGTAAATGTTGTCGATAATTGGCGACATACGCCAAGTGTGTCGCTGTTGCCTATTTTGCATGCATTATTTGTGTCCCCTTTTTCTAGCAAACACTTTTGCACAGCAAAATGTTGAAGAACACATATGTGTCAAGTAGACCTAATAAGGTAAGCATGTTACCAAGTCTGTTTACATTGCATTAATCTGTGTTGTATTGTCTTTAAAAAAACATTATTCTATTCTGATGAGATTGCTTTGTTGCTGCTCGTCTTTTGTTGCATTACACTGACATTGATAGAAGCCAGTCATTAAATCTGTGATGATACAGTCTTTACCTTCAAGAGGGTTCTTTGAGAACAACTTTACATTTTGTTTGTTGTAGTTGCATACCAGTAGATGTGTTTATTCTTTTGTACATTTGTTATGTATTTTGAATAAGTTTAGTGTGGTGGTTTGGTGGAAAAAAAAAGCAAATGCAGCAGTAAACTGTTGAAAAACATGCAACTTTTGGAGCTCAAAATTTATTCTCCATAAATGGACATAAAAAACTTAGGAAAGAAGATTACTAATAACCGTTAACTTAAAAAGGGGGGAATAGGGATTGTCAAAAAAGTTCAGAAACAAGCTGAATCAAAATACAAATATTATATTTTCAACCCTACAACTAGGGAATCTAAAAAAAAGTAAACAAACAAGGCTGGAAATAGTATCTACATTATTTTCTCAACTACAAATCCTTATTTTGACTCTACTGAAACTGATAAGTACTGTAGACATCGAGTCAAAATATGGATTTATAGCTTGAGAAAATAATGTAGTCACTATTTCCAGCCTTCCTACTTGCTATTTTACTTTTTTTAGAGTCCCTAGTTGTAGGCTTGAAAATATATTCTTTGCATTTTATTTCAACCTGTTTCTGTACTTTCTTGACGATCCCTAATCCCCCTTTTTAAATTAACAATTTTTACTACTATACAGTGCATAAACCAATAATGATTTCTAGGAGACTCGGAAAGGTTTAAGTGCCTAATTATCCTTTTAAAGATTTTTTACTTGCTAACGCTAATTTAATATTTCAGAGACCTCTACGTCTTTAATAAGTGTTCTAAAATGTAGGAGTTATATATAGCTGATCTTTGCTTCGGAATTGTTAATATTCTTTGAATATGGAAGTCACGTGATTCTTTTTGTACATATACGATATCAGCATGCATGATGTCACATCTATCAAGTCTTATTTTCACCCACTTCTAACGTCTGCTTAATTTATAATGCGAACTCAAACTTACTTCGTAGTCTAGAATGCTAAATCCTAATCCTCGGTCTCCTTTGGGAAGTTCAATTACATGCGGCTCATCGCTCCACATAGCTAAAGCCGTTAAGGGCTCTAGAGACCTAGACTTAAGTTTAGTAAACGTTGTTTCCGGTGGAACACCAACAGAAAGAAAACCTTCAGATTTGGCTTTCACTAATCTTTCGGAGAGTGGGGATAGAGATGAGAGACTTCCTCCCGAGGTTTCGGAAACAGATCCTTTGCTCTCAGCATCATCTATAGAGGCTACTTCATAGTCGATACTAGTGAAGGGAGGATAAGAAAGAGATGAGCCAAAAGTCCTAGCAGAAAGAGGTATGATACTTTGTAAAGACTGATGAAGATTCCGACCACATACCAGGCGTATCTCTGATGGAAGCTCTTTCAAGGTAGTAACAACGTCGACGTAGTTCAAACCATAGAGTTTTTTACCATTAACCTATGTAGCAGACAGAGAAAATTGAATTAAAGATATTGTAGAAAAATTCACTAAGAACACGAATATGAATGTTTTCAATAATTACACTTGTCAAACTACCACAGAATAGATACAAAAACTGCTTTAGAGAAGATGGACATTGACTAAAGAAGGCTTGTACAAAATGTCTTACTTACGAAGTATACACATTTAGTTAATTAGATCTATAGAGAGAAAACGGTTTTGTTTAAAGAGCATTCTATAAAATTATGATATCCATCTTCAATAAGACACTTAATTAAAATTAAAATACAAAACTACTCGCAACAGACCTAATTGTCTTCTTTGTTTTCAAAACCATGCCGAGAAAATACTTTCAAAATTGTAGTTCACACGATGCAGCCTAACCACACATTCTCTGAACAGTTTCCTTTCAATCACAGTTTACACAGCACAGCTTAAATAAGTATTTTCCGAACAGTTTACTTTAAAGTGTAGTTCACACAATACAACCTAACCACACATTCTCCAAACAGTATCATTTCACTAAAAAAAGAATCCCTGCATATTTTAAATTAGCATAAACTATTTTATGTGAGCAAGAGTTGTTATGGTGGGCAAAGTTACCCAATAGGCTACATACGCTCATTCCACCACGGGAATCGACCCCCGGATGTAAGTCCGTAAACTTACCGCATTTGTGTGTGTGATAGTATAATATTTCTTGAGAAGAATACTTCTTTTTTAGAAGTGAAGTGTTTATTTTGGTTTGTCTTTCGAGATATCTGGCTAACTCCTTTGGCAATCATGGCAAAGCAGTGTCGCTTTTCACTCACTGTTATTATACGATCTTACTTAACCCTCGTGTTTTTTTCTTCAACCTCTCGCTACCGATGGGGTCCACCTATTGCACCATATTTAGTAATTTTATATTTTTCCTGTTAAAAAAAGCTTAGTGTGAAGAACCGACAAAAATAAAATTGGACGAAAACACTCATTTTTTAATGTAAAATAAACAGGAATCACCAACAGTAATTAGTAGGAACAATTTCAATTACTGTAACCACTAAACTTATGGACTTGCAATCAATTTTGTGGACAAATAGTTAAATAAGTAAAAAGTTGTTTAAAAACCTCCTGGAGTTTAAAAGTTGTAAAAATAAAAATTTTATTCTCAAATAACCATTTTATCAAATAAAATACGTAAAACTACATAGTTAATGAGATTAAAACAACGCTTCGCAGAAACTGAAGTACATAATTTTTGTCCCTCAATGAATCAATGGTAAGTCTAGGAAATATAATGCTAAAATTCAGGGTTCGATTCCCATTGGCTGACAGAGCGAGACACCACATTGTATAGTTTTCGATTAAAACAAAACATTAATTATTATCTTCTTTCTTGTTACATATCTGAGTTACATGCTAATATATTAAGCAAGACGATCACGTGAAACCTGCTTCATTAAATACGTTATTCTTCAATTGAAATACAAATATTATTTTGAATACAACCAATAACTGTATTCATCAGGACGATATCTGTTTGTAAGCAAATGAATGTAGGCAGAAGCACCAAGAACATTACGAAAACTCACGTGTCACATAAACACAATATGGCGGAGCTGGAACTTTTTGTAAGTAAATTAATGTAGGCAGCAGCACCAAGAACATTACGTAAACTCACGTGTCACATACACACAATATGGCGGAGCTGGAACTTTTTGTAAGCAAATAAATGTAGGCAGCAGCACCAAGAACATTACGTAAACTTACGTGTGACATACACACAATATGGCGGAGCTGGAATTGTTTTCAGACTAATTAAAACTACTAGTTTGTCAACTGTGACATAACTCATATGACATTCCAACACAGAATATCCATTTCTCTCCATCACGTCATAACGCAATACATAAAATAAAGACCACAACATGTAGTTTTGAGACTAAAACACGTAGATTTCACAAAACAAATCAAGATGAATGAGGATGCATATTCGTTTGACATCCATGTTCTTCCCTTTTCTTCAGATCGTTTGTATATAATAAAATAAAAATGTTCATTGTGGTAAACGAACTAATAATTTGACCTAAGTAAGAGTTTTTTTTCTTTCCGATTTGTAAAAAAAAATCTTTAGACGATGGAAAAAAAATATTATTATTTTCGAAATCTGCGTAGCTGAATTATGGAAAATCCGTTATTAAAACCAGAACAACTTTTATGAAGTTTAAATTCGCAGGCCTGTGTAATGTACGGTTATACTAAGTGAAGTGAGATTTTTACCAATTCCAGGGATTTTATACTTACATTTCAAATGCATTCTGTCGAGATAGTATTTGATCACAGCACCGAAACTCGTTAGTCTTTTGTCAGTCTGTTTGTGTGCTAAGCTTATTTACTGTTCGTACAATACTCTCAAGCAGATGAATCAAAAATAATTATTATGCTTCCCCCGAGTTACCTTTAAACCACCATTACATAAAATAACCAAAGACGGTGTGAATAAGAAGGTTGTTTCTTTACGTATGGGTATATAAAATACATAAATCTGTTACTCACAGATCATTTTACATACCAGTATATGAAGTTTGTATTTTTTGACACATTTTCCAATTACTCATAATTGGAAAAATAACTCCATTTGTTTACCGATGGCCTCCAATAACATGTACAAAAATTCCAAAGAAACCATTTCAACGGTATATAACCAGACATTCGCTAAATGAAAGAGAAACATTCCAATGGTAAATAACCAGAAACTCACTAAATGAAAGAGAAACCATTCCAACTGTAAATGACCAGAAACTCACTAAATTAAAGTGGAACCATTTCAATGGTAAATAACTAGAAACTCACTAAATGAAAGAAAACCATTCCAACTGTAAATAACCAGAAACTCACTAAATTAAAGTGGAACCATTCCAATGGTAAATAACTAGAAACTCACTAAATGAAAGAAAACCATTCCAATGGTAAATAACTAGACACTCACTAAATGAAAGAGAACCATTCCAATGGTAAATAACCAGAAACTCACTAAGTGAAAGAAAACCATTCCAATGGTAAATAACCAGAAACTCACTAAGTGAAAGAAAACCATTCCAATGGTAAATAACTAGACACTCACTAAATGAAAGTGAAACCATTCCAATGGTTAATAACTAGACACTCACTAAGTGAAAGAGAATCCATTCCAATAGTTAATAACTAGACACTCACTAAGTGAAAGAGAATCCATTCCAATGGTAAATAACCACAAACTCACTAAGTGAGAGAAAACCATTCCAATGGTAAATAACCAGAAACTCACTAAGTGAAAGAAAACCATTCCAATGGTAAATAACTAGACACTCACTAAATGAAAGAGAACCATTCCAATGGTAAATAACCAGAAACTCACCAAGTGAAAGAAAACCATTCCAATGGGAAATAACTAGACACTCACTAAATGCAAAAGAAACCATTCCAATGGGAAATAACTAGACACTCACTAAATGAAAAAGAAACCATTCCAATGGTAAATAACCAGAAACTCACTAAGTGAAAGAAAACCATTCCAATGGTAAATAACTAGACACTCACTAAGTGAAAGAGAAACCATTCCAATGGTAAATAACCAGAAACTCACTAAGTGAAAGAAAACCATTCCAATGGTAAATAACTAGACACTCACCAAGTGAAAGAGAAACCATTCCAATGGTAAATAACCAGAAACTCACTAAGTGAAAGAGAAACATTACAATGGTAAATAACTAGACACTCACTAAATGAAAGTGAAATAAATGTGATAAACGTTCTATGGAGCCAAGGTGCTCACAATGGAAAACAAATACATTATTTTTAAGATTTAATTAGTAATACTAATGAGGTGTGTAACATAAAATTTCCTGGACAGGAAAGTTGATGATATTTTTTTTTAAAGATTTCAATGAAGTTTAGTAGAATTTATTATTATCAGAAACAGATAAAGATAAGTTACATAAGTTTCTATAAGATCCAACATTTAAATTTTATCTAGTAAAGCGAATTCTTAAGTGACCTTACCTCCAATAGTTCGTCTCCGCTTCTTAACTTTCCGTTTCGACCGACAGGTCCGTCGTTATAAATAGAGCGCAGATAGTGGTGAGGTCGCACTTCTATATCGCCTTCTACATCAACAGTTCCCGTAAGGCTGATTCCCATACTGGTGCCGGGAAGCTTGGAAAATAGAGCAATCTAAAAAAAGCGGGAGCAATCATTATGTGTTAATACAATCATGATAAAAACGTTTATCTGAAAACAATACCATACGCCCACAATTAGTGAATAATATACTAAGTTAAATTATTTTGACTGAGTTTCTAGCAACTAGAACGGTCACTTGATTGTAATATCAGTGACTGGAAGAACACTAAATTCCTCATTTTCTATGTTATCAAGTGGCAGTCACAAACATTTCATCATGAAACGCTACGGTATATTGGACGATAACTGCTACATTACTACTCAGTAGATGTAATGCTTAGAACAACGAATGATTGTATGAATGGGGGTGATCGCTAGGAGTTTGGAAGGGAGTTGTAATTCATACATTTTGAACTATAAAGCGATTTTTTGGGGCAAAATGTTAAGCTGACATTTTACTTGCCCTATCTAGCTGAGCAGCGGCAGAATTTCCGTCAAGCAGACAACACGGTATTTGCTACCCCGTGTTTTACTTGGCTATGATTTAATATTTTTCAGTTGTGCAAATTGAACTATATATCTTGTAAGCACATGGTTTTACTGCCCTTTTTCTTAAAAGTTGTTTTACTACAAGACAGAAATGGAAAATGCAAGATAATGCAGATTGCGAGTGCACAAATGAGGGTAAAAAGTTAATACCCGCATGACGTTGCTATGCAGTCTTCCATGGCCTGTACTCAATTTGTAACTGAAAAAAAGTCGAGTGGACATGAAATGTCTGTATTAATAGATTTCTATGATCAGAAGTTAAAGTTTGGCACTTGTGCAGTGGCTAGCTTTTTTAAGTTACTTGTGTGACGAATTTATTATTATATATTTATTTTAATATCAACGTTTGTTTAGATTAAGATTATATTTAGAAATATGCACAGCTTATATATAGTGTTAAGTATGTATTGCGAAACTCCCGCCCATTCTTTAAAGATGTAGAAGATTCTCAAGTGTAAGAATCAACAATATATGTGTGTACGTAAACGCTAGTGTTAGCGTCAGCATTGTCACGTAAAACTGATATTTCGAGAAACTCTCCACACGCCTATAAATATAACCAACGTGACGCGCCAAAAAAAATAGTATTTATTATTGGTTTGCTATAGCTGGTGCGCTATAAACATCGGAAGCTATAACTGTGATTAACGCTTATTAATCGGAAAACTTAAGATATTTGACCAGGAACGTTTATAAATTTCGAACACTACAAACCAATTAAATTCAGTGGATTCACATCAGACAGTAGTACTTTTAGGAAAACATTATATATCTTCATCGGTGGAAAACATCGGCGACGAATACAGAGCTAGCTAGCTCCCTATTAAGTGAATTGTACCTACGTCAACTTGAAATTAACTCGCTCATCGTGAACCCTCGATAAGATATCAAGGAAGTTCCACCTCCAGACTAGAAAGACGATTTTTATATTGCTGGTAAGTTTGTAAGACTTTTGTATATAAATCATTGTTTGTAATAACTATTCGTAAAAACCGTTATTGTAAATTGTATTTTTGTTTGTATATTAAAATATATATTTGTATTAAAAAATAAATCTTTTTGCATCAATCTTGTTGACAAATATCAACAATTTAAATTATCATTTAGCTCGGTTTCAGACCATTCGAAATTGTAATACGTAACACTTGTGTAGAACTAAGCACTTAGAGATTAACCCTTTTCTCCTCATTGGTCCCGGGTTCTGTTAATATAACAAGAGGGATTCCTCAATAGCCGCAGCACTTGAAATTCTTTTACGCAGAATTAGAGTAAATTAATCTATGATACTGTTTTTTTCTTTCCTTTTTATTAGCTATATTTATGTGCGCCAGCAATACTAAGCGCGGGGCGCGTGTATACCCGATTCAATTTTATTACTCATCAGTATCTCTACCAGCCTACCCTCAAATTGAAGTTCTTCTAGGCAGGATTAGAGTAAATTAATCTGCGAGACCTTGGGCGTGGTAAGATACATCAAACGAAAGGGTTTGGCCTCCTGCGTCCAAAACGGAGCTATGAGCTAAAAGTTTGTACTTGAAAAAATAATAAAACTCAGCTAATCTATGAGCCACTATGCCGCGGCTAAAAACGAGACAATGATGAATGAAATGTTGAAAAGACACGGGTATATTATCTGTTGCCATAGAAACAGTAATAGTGGACAACACATCTGTGTTTGTTGGTCAAGAATGAGATCCAATGAAGTCTGGTGGACTGGCATGTCCACAAAGGCAAGAGCAACATTGGCTACAGGTAATATACGCGTGTACACGCAAGCTTGTCGCTATATCATTTGAACAAGGTAACAGTTAGTAGTTGTGGCCATAACTTCTGAATAACTAGAATCCAGTTGATCACTCATCTTTCAATCCTGACTTCTTGTTATGTATGATCAATTATACTTTGTTTATGAGGTTACCTAAGGTCCTGAACTCTAAGGGTAAACCTAAGTACAACTGTGGTTATTTTTACATGCAAGATTATACCTTGTTCATGAAGTTACCAGTTATTCTCTTTGCCTTACGATTTTGTGCATTTTAAAATTAAAGGAAATATTTTCCGCCGGAATTTAAACATTTTTAAATCATGGACGGCCGAAAGGCAATGAAAGAGGAAATATGTAGTATATAAGCATACTATGTATTTTCTACACCACCAATCCTTTATTTAACATTTATTATGTTCATCAAAAAATTTCAAAACTTTTATTTATAAAAGAATATGTAGGTCTAAGGTAGAATATTGGTCCAGAAAGTAACTAAGTTAATTTCACCTCAGTTACCTATTGTTCTGAGTCATTCCCCTATGATATCAGATGCGCTTTCTCGTGGAAAGGATTGCTGTAAAGCAAAACACACTATGTAAGGGTGAATAGGTGTGTTAGGTCATATCTTAACCATAAATTCTCCCTTAATTCTTTTATGGGAATGATTAACAGTGACGTAAGTAGCGCATGCGCCCTGTGAGGGATAACATTGTAGGACTGTGTATATAATGCTATTTTTTCTCAGATTTTTGAAACTTTCACTAAAAGGTGCTGTCCTCCATTTACACATTCGTAATTTTAATTGTGTTCATTAAGTGAATTGAATGAAGACGGTTTTTATTGTCCAGTTAAATCTTTACTCTAAACGTAACCCAAATCAAGAGAATTCAGCTCAACTTCGCAAAACATTTTCTATCAAACTTTCCAGAATCTTCAAAGTTAAACGAGAGCAACAAATATAATTATATTTAACAATCTTTACATAGGAACATTTTATTTAAATCACATCGTTTACTGATAATAGTGTTACAAACTTGGTATATTTGTATTCACAAAAGTCGCAACAACTTCCACACTTAACAGACCTCCTAAATCACTTACTCTTTTTATGATCTTGATGAATATTTTCTCCCTTTCACAAGGATAAAACAATGCATTTCTAAAGTTAAGGAATGTGCTTATTCAGTCTTCCTTATTTTGTTTTATTCAGTTCTTAATTTTGGATCAATGATTTTCTTAGGCATTGATCCCACGATCTGATTGATCCGTTTGTAGAAAAGTTTAATTGTTCTCAAAATTCTTAATAATTTGTTATTGTTTCGCCACAGAGTTGAGGATATATTGAGTTTTTTTGCTTTGTTTTTATAACAACCGAGTAGCGACAGACAAAACTATTAATTTTTGTTTAAAAGGTTTGTTTGTTCACCTGAATGACACATTTTGCTCATACTATATTGACCGGTCAGCGAAACCCATGTGTTTCATGCATATCCATGACTAATATTGAGCCGAAGATCAGAGGCAAAGCAACTAGTCGACAGCATCCGCCGCCTGAAGCGAGATTGACTGTCACGTTCATAACTCACCCGCAGCTGAAAGTACGAAGTACGTTTGGTAGTACAACGTTTCGAATCTGAGCACCTCGGATCCCCAATACGATATGTAATGTTGACTATTAGGTTACGCATGAACTAACAAAAAAAAGGTACTAAAAGCTATTTTATATTGTATCTCTATTTTTTCAGGTGTCTTAGTTAACAAGAGACGAAAGTTATTGTTCTATCATGCAACAATAGATGTCTAATACGGGTAATGTGTTATTTTTAAATATTTCTATGTCAGTGAGTGAATTACTTATTTCAATCATTCCTGTCATCTGCTTTATCTCCCTAAATTAACGTTTAATTTTGTATGTGTGTGTTCATCTGCTTTATCTCTCTGGGGTAACGTTTACTTGTGTGTGTATGTGTTCATATGCTTTATCTCTCTGAAGTAACGTTTACTTTTGTGTGTATGTGTGTGTGTTCATCTGCTTTATCTCTCTGGGGTAACGTTTACTTGTGTGTGTATGTGTTCATATGCTTTATCTCTCTGAAGTAACGTTTACTTTTGTGTGTATGTGTGTGTGTTCATCTGCTTTATCTCTCTGGGGTAACGTTTACTTTTGCGTGTGAGTGTTTATCTGCTTTAACTCTCTGGGGTAACGTTTACTTTTGTGTGTGAATGTTCATCTGCTTTATCTCTCTGGAGTAACGTTTACTTTTGTGTGTGTGTGTTCATCTGCTTTATCTCTCTGGAGTAACGTTTACTTTTGCGTGTGAGTGTTTATCTGCTTTAACTCTCTGGGGTAACTCTTACTTTTGTATGTGTGCACGCGTGCGCGAACATCAAAACATACAAACTGTTAGTGGAAATAAATTACAAAATACTCATTTTCTTACCACAACTTCATAACTGGGACCCAATATTTTTTCCCACTTAGCCTTTATAGCAGCATCTATTTCTGAAAGTAAAGGAGGACCTACAGATTAAAAAATAAATATCACCTCTAATTTAATTAACGAAACTTTAATACATTGGCACATACAAACAGTTTTAAAAAACAGATTTTTTAATGTAATCATCAAATGAATAAACTAGGGTATTCCTAAATACAGCGCTACCTATATTTTGTCAATGTAACTACCCTAAACAGAACCTGTATTATTGTAAAACAATGCAATATTTTATTGTAGCAATGGTAATACATCATCTATATTGTCATCAAACAACGACATAGTTAGTTTGTAAAACTAAACACTATCATAAGAATAGTTGACTTATTTCATAATAGTAAGTGAATAAAAATGTTTAACATTTCCTTTGGTGATTCAATGACCACACTCTGATTTATTCTGACAACACGAACTGTTCTTAGTACCAGTTTTCCGCACTTAATTTCGATAATTTTTAAATATTCAGATTATTAAATAGAGCATAAATTTTGAAATGTTTAGCGTTGAAACGCTTACTGACCATCAAATTATTAGTGTTATAAACCATTATTGAGTTATGAAACACCATACCGGTCTTTCATTTGTGAGAATACAAGCAAACATTGGTGTAAATCACTGAATAACTGGAATGTTTCATTAAAAATAACATACGCATTGTAACTACTTTACATTATACTAAACTGTACTCTTAAGTTATTCGTTACTTTAAGATGATTCACGTACACTTGTAACAAAGTAAAACCAAATACAGGAAGTGCATTTAAATACGTTTAAAAAATGGCACACTGTTGTATTTTGTACAAAAAATAATAATAATAAAACACGGACTTATTAAATTAAAATGAGACTACATCAACCTGTTTGTTATAGTGAATAGAATGACGCAAATCAACTTGAAGCTGCTGTAGGTGAATTTAATTACAGCAGTATATAATTTAATTCCACAAACGGTTTTAAAACAAAAGAAACAACTTATAGAACAACTGATCCGCAGAAACAAAAAAGACACTGTTGTCTTTGTTATTCTTCTTCTACTGACATTTTGACAAGGACTTTTCTATTAGAGAGACACATTAGTATTGTGCCATCTTAAGCTTCCTCTACCGACTCCTTCAGAACAACATATACACATTCCAATATTTATAGCGTTAAGACAAGAATGTAGTAGAGAAACACATTAGTATTGTGCCATCTTAAGCTTCCTCTACCGACTCCTTCAGAACAACATATACACATTCCAGTATTTATAGCGTTAAGACAAGAATGTAGTAGAGAAACACATTAGTATTGTGCCATCTTAAGCTTCCTCTATCGATCCCTTCACAACAATATGTACCGATTAAAGAATGTAGTGTTTACAAATATAATAAGCCTAGTACTATTGTCCTATTACAAATATATTTGATTATAATCATGCTTCTCCAGCAAAAGGCGTTCACACCATAAACACAAGAAAACAGGCAGCTGGTTTTTATTAATAACATATTTGACTTACTGTAATTATCATTAGCGATAAAGTTGATGGTACTTGGACGTTGACGCTCCTTAAATGGTTCTACCTTTTTTGAGTTATTGGAGTGGTAGATCTTCGGCTCGTGAACTGACACAGTTGTAGTTCTGATAGAAGTATTCAACTCATTGCTTGCTATACATAAAAGTGGAAAATTTATCGTTCTTACTTTCATAGTGCAATCGTTTTAATTGTATTTTTCTAGGCAACGAATTTATATATTTTTTACTTAAACTTTTTCCCCAGAAATGATCTAACAAAAGCAAAATAATAGATATAAGTATGTCAACTCGATCAGTTTTTCGTGATTGTAGCCCACATTTTACAAAATGAGAGTGCACTTTTTTTAATTGAATTAAGTTCAATTTAAGCAACAAAAATACAAAGATGTTCAAGTACAACTGTATTTTTGTGACACTTTAAACAGATACACTTATTATAGGGCTAATTTTCTTGTCTAGAAGAAGGGATATAGCATTAGATCAAAAACGTAATAAAGTATGGTGTCGCGAGGATAGGTAAATACATATACAGAGTAAGTCTGTTGTTAGTTGTGAAGACAGACGAGCATGCGCAATAAGGTTTACATCGCTAGACCTTATTTTTGCTTTTAGGTTTTGTAGACAGGACGACATCTTATAATGAAATAAGCGCAACGCTTGAGACTGACGGGCTACATTATTACGTGTTCTTTCCACAGGATTTTAGTTGTATAAAACCCGTCTTATTGGATATTAGCGAAATAAGGAAAACTCTTATACAAGGTTTAGAAGCCTATGTTTCACACAACAAACACGTGGATTTTCTTTATACGTCATTTTGCTCGAAACGATTCGTTAGAGAATACCACGAACTTTCAACATGTTAAACAATTTCAAAAATAGCTCTAACTCGACATCTATGCGTAAAAAGTGGTTCGGAACTTGTTTTTTTTTACAGCACTTAATTAACTTCTTTTGCTTATTGTACACTTTATGTTGCCTCATTAAAATAATAATCATTATTTTTCAACAGGAGTAGGATAATATTACTGAATAATAATATTTTTTTCAAAATTTTGTTAGACAAACATTATATCATAATCAAACTGAAGATCAGTGGGTTGTAATGGAGTTTGAAACAGTTTCGTTCATAAGAAAGTTTTTTCATCAAATACTATATACAATATCTTACATTAAGAGATTGAAAAGAGTTGAAATCATGAAAAAAATCTGCAAAATATTGATTAAAGAGTCATTATATTGGTCATAAATCAGCATTATGTAGTCCCAAGGAACACCTTAAAATATGAAAGTGGAAACTTAACAGATGCTCCTTAAGGGAGATTTAGGTGTTCTATATCTAATGAGAAGTTAACAGACGAAATATGCGCCCCCTACCACGTCAAAGAATTAGAAATATATACATTTCCTGAAAATGATTAAGTTCGACCATATCTGTACCATTTTCAAAAGTTGGGAAATTTAAATTATAGTTATGCGTAAATTAGAGGTGAAATAATCTTATGGCTTTCAACCATCTCGGAAAAAAATGGAGGAAGACTAATTCAAACATTTTGTTATGTTACAGTGATTGTTAACTGAATAAGGAGACTGGTAAAAATTTAAATTATAGTTATGCGTAAATTAGAGGTGAAATAATCTTATGGCTTTCAACCATCTCCGAGAAAAATGGAGGAAAACTATTTCAAACACATTTTATGTTACAGTGATTGTTAATTGAATAAGGAGACTGGAAAAGAGGCTCACTCTTGATTTTTTCTTACCTTGTTTTTCGAATCTGTTCTTGTTTATATAACAAGTAAAACATGTAACGCCAATGATGTGTTCACAAAAAGTAAGAATTACATCATTCTGAATTCTATTGATTGTTTATGCTGTATTTCTGTACGTATTCTAATATTTCCCTTCTTCACGTCAAAGCACAAGAAATGATAAAAAAACACGAGGTACAATATTGGAAATAATTATGGAAACAGTGAGTAAAATGGGTATAAAATGGAAATTCTTACCTTTTTTTTTTTCGTTGAAAATTAGTTGCACTGGAATACAGTTATGTGTTAAAAGTTTACACTGGTTGCACTAGAATACAGTTAAATACAATTAAACAGCGTTACACCAGCATAAAACTATCAAAGTACAGATACTTATACTATACCCAGTAGTAGTAAGGAAAGCGCACTAATGGCTCCGGAATAGAAATACCACGAGACAGACGTGTAGAAATCAAGTTTTTCGCTGATGGAAGCTACTCCACAGATTGAGGAGAAATTTAATATTTCAGTAGTGGATGTATGGAAACCTAATAGGTGTAAGTGAAACTAATGCCGCTGATAATATAAGCTGTTGAGGAAGAAGCCGAAATTCTTAAAAAGTGAAGATAAGTAACTCTTTACATATTAAGCTCTCGACAATCCAGTATAAATTTTGCCAAGGATATAACTGTAAGTACAGATATAAAGGTAACCTTCGGAACAAAAAGTTGCACATTAGCTCGAAGTAGCCTCAGTGGATGTGCAGCTGCTCAAAAACCATTGTTTAGAAAAGATAACCAAACCAAAAGGCTTAATGGGCACTAGACTTCAAACAATGGGATGAGCAATCCTGAAGGAGGGTGCTCTTTACAGATAAATCCAAATTCAAATTGTTTGTAAACAGTTAGTAATAGTTTTGTCGATAGCAGAAAATGGTATGCCATAACATCTACAGTGAAACACGCTTGGGTCAATATAGGTGAGGACTGCATCCCAAAACTGATGGCAACCTAACAGCAGGTACGTACAACAGGAAAATGGCCTGTTAAACGGGCATTCATTTTCCAGCAAGATGGTGATTCCAAGTATGCATCAAATGTGGTGGAATGATACCTGAAGGGCAATAACAAAAAGAGGATGATGGAACACCCACAATCATAGTTTGACCTTCAAGAGGTCTCGGTATAAATATTATTAAGTTTGAACAATATTATGAATCTTATTAAAGTAAAACGACAACTAAACAACTTGGTTGAATTTTGAAGAGTAATACGGGTTGTAAGGAACAATATTTAACATTCATGCATTGATAAACTCATGATAACATAAAATGAATTACACTGTTTTATTTAAAACACATACAATATAATAATGCATTATAAATTTTATTCGCAATTACTAGTTGTTTGTGACGTGTGTATGTATATCACCTGTGCGTGTCCATACTTATTTCCAATAATGTCAAATCACACTAATTATTTATATAGTTAAGCTACATACTATTGATGACTCTACTACATGGAGAATTAGACATGAATGTTGTTCTATCAGTCTCTGTTAGAGGTCACCGAAAACGAAACTGAAAAGTACTTAACATACAACAAAACTAATCACCACGTTGGTCGCTTGTAAGCAATTTTTACATTTTTAAAAAAAGAGAAGAAAAAAATAGAGCTCGCTACACTTAATACATAAACTTACAACTCGTGCAGTTCAAGAATTTACTTCATCCACCTTCCACATAGATATTGATTTTGATGTCACGTAGGTATTAATACATTCCCAGAAGCGAAAGCTTACAATAAAATCCATTATTCACATTACATACTGTAAGTGAAAAAAGCAACTTAAGATAAATTTGCTACAATAAAATCCATTATTCACATTAGATACTGTAAGTGAAAAAAAGCAACTTAAGATAAATTTGCTACAATAAAATCCATTATTCACATTACATACTGTAAGTGAAAAAAGCAACTTAAGATAAATTTGCTACAATAAAATCCATTATTCACATTAGATACTGTAAGTGAAAAAAGCAACTTAAGATAAATTTGCTACAATAAAATCCATTATTCACATTAGATACTGTAAGTGAAAAAAGCAACTTAAGATAAATTTGCCTTACACAAATACTACAGTGTAGTAACAGGAAATAATATACACAACGGTGCAGACGAGGAAGAAAAGGAAGTTCCATGGGTGGCACTGGAATTGAGATTACATTGACACTGTTATTTATCAAGCTTTTAAACAGATAGAACGAAAGACATTCCTGTAAGTTTCTATTTCTTTATTGCTAAGACAAGTGTTATAAGTTTTAGTAATTCACATGTTCTTTGTTAAAGGTAAATATTTTCTCGTTAAAAGAAAAATATAGTGGTAGCTTTTTTTTTTTTCTTTCATAAATTGATTACTTGAGCCAACACTCGTAAGAAACATTAGGGGGTGAAACATGTGCCTCCTAGGTGTTTAAACTGTAAGCCTGAACCATTATAACGGTAAAAGTCTGGGTTCTATACCCGCGGAATGCAAAACGCAAATAGCCCATTGTGTAGCTGTTTACTTAAAAACGCTTTGTTCGCTGATTTTCTATAACTATCAAACTCGGTGGTGTATTGGTTTATGGTCAGGAAAATCTCTCAGGAGAGAAGTGATTTAGTTTGACGTTGTAATGCAAAACTCAGTGGTGTATTGGTTTATGGTCAGAAAAATCTCTCAGGAGGGAAGGGATTTAGTTTGACGTTGTAGTGCAGAACTCAGTGGTGTATTGGTTTATGGTCAGGAAAATCTCTCGGGAGAGAAGTGATTTAGTTTGACGTTGTAGTGCAGAACTCAGTGGTGTATTGGTTTATGGTCAGGAAAATCTCTCAGGAGGGAAGTGATTTAGTTTGACGTTGTAATGCAGAACTCAGTGATGTATTGGTTTATGGTCAGGAAAATCCCTCGGGAGAGAAGTTTGACGTTGTAGTGCAATTAAAGTTTTCAATTGTACTGAAAGTAATTCACCATGTTTGAGTAGAAATTGTTTACACAAACTAAATAGCGACTTACAGTATAAAGATCAAATTTATCTATAATTATGAGGTGTATTCGCTATAGTTCAATCCGAACTCCTCGACATTCGACAGTGCAATGCTGTTCTGAATGAAATATGACTGGAAGATAATGTCACAGCCTTTATGAGAAATAATATTCGCATAGAAATATTGCTAAATGAAATCGCGGCGTTTCGAAAAAGGAAGCATTGAATGTTCTTTACAGAAGAGGAAAGTTCCAACAGCAGAGAATTATAAAGTGTAATTAATAATGTTTAAGATATGTAACATCATAGATTTTACCTGACATAGCATTATTTCCAAAGGAAATGCAATTTCTTTCTTATTTAACAGGCCCCTCACGAGCCAGTGGGGGACATTTTTGTTGAAAAGAAAACAATAACTACGCAATCCGATTTTTCTTAATTTTAAATGAAATTTTTTGGACATTTCTATTGGCTAGAAAAAAGGCATTTCCCGCACTCTTTTAGCGTTGAGGCTGCGAAAAGTGATTTGAAATGGTACGGTGACTGAAATCCGTCAGCGCATCACGAGTTTAATGGCCAAGAACAAGAAGCATGGAAGTCTCCAACTAACACGCAGATGTTATTTAGGAACCATTTGCAACCACTTTGGTAGATATTGTGCAGCAAGCCGAGTACAATATTATGCCTGTAGCTGCTTTCAAAGTGTTACTGTCTGCTCATCCTACTGCTGACTATCGTGATACTTCGACTTTCCCTACCGAATCGCAGGTGAAATCGTTC